GCAACAAGTAGTGAAAAAATAGTTATTTTTGTGTGTGTGTGTGTGTGTGTGTGTGTGTGTGTGTGTGTGTGTGTGTGTGTGTGTGTGTGTGTGTGTGTGTTTGCCCCAGTAAACATTAGCATTTCCAGAGACCGGTCTTGCGTAAACGAGGCCATAATTTATTGAGAAAAGAACTGACACTGCTTAACTTATTGATTCTTATCCTCCCCTAAATTTATATTTATGAAAAAATATTATGCATAACTTCCTGTTGAGGACATTTTTTGACACACTGTCCTCAGTCAGGGGAACTAGAATTATAAGTATAATTTATATTTTTAACTCCTAGTTGCCAAAAAATAAATGTTTGTTTTTCTGATTGAGGTTCTACTAATTCTGAAGAGCCAGGGGAAATTAAAAATGCACACCAAGCAAAACTTTGGACTTGAGCGTAAAACTATGTGACCAAGGGCAGCCAGTAAGGGGGAAGGGGGCACCAATTTTTTTTAATGGGGTGCCATGGTCAGTGTCCCCCCCACACATGGTGGCCCTTTAACTTAACTTTTCATAAACGGTGAAGCTTAAATGAATTTGCCAGTTTTAGGGGACTTGTATTGAAGATGTACTACAAACAAAACTCCAAACCACCTGCCAGTGTCTGCATTAAGGCAGATTTCTATAAGCAGAATAAATATAGGTAGAAGTTGGCGTAAGTAAAGATAAACGATGTGATTTGGAAGTATCTGATTGCTGCTTTAATGAAAATTGTCTTTTCACTCGTAAAGAATTTGATAGGCATCAATAATTTATGATGCAGTGTAGTTAAAAATAGACAGGCCAATTATTCAGTGGACCAGTTTTTCAAAACTGGCAATCAGCAGTGCCTGTGCATACCTAATCAATTACAAAGTAAGAAAATGGAGATGCAACAGCTACTGCTACAACCATAATTTAATGCAAAAATTCTTTTCTTTATTTTTAGGTGTACAAGTTCTTCTAAGGGTTGTTAAATACATGCCTATTTAAGTTAAGCATTTCAAATTTATTAATGAAAAATAAACGTTGACCAAAAGAAATAAGTGTACAGTATATAGTGGTCATCAGTTTCCTTTATTTCCAAAGATTGTCACAAGTCATAGAAAAACTCATATCAATTGTTCTCTTGCTAAAACTAGTATTTCTTTAGTGGTCGCTAAACATTTTTTATGACCAAAATTAATTTGTTGCCTTGTTCTAAGCCTACAGTGGCACCTGTGATCACGTTATTGAGGTGGTCATGTTAAAAAAAGGGGAATATTGTTGTCCCCATCTCTCAATTGGGGRTATTTTGTGCTGTGCACAATAATTTCTTGATCACACAGAGCTCAAGCTCACAAAGAAGCTATTTCTTTATTTTTTAAATGACTTTTTTTTACTCACAAATTAAATAGTTAAATTAAATACTGGTGTGATCAAAATAAAAGAAACAATCTAGAATTATTTTGTTTAAAGGGGCAGTTATGTATTTCCAAGCACATCGTTCAATTYTATACCACAATCAAGTAACTATTTGTTACCTTAGGAAAACAACTTTTCAATTTTTAAAAATTAATTCCTAAATATCTTGAAATTGAATTGGCCTATATCTCTTTAAGAACCTCCTACCATTTCGATACTCCCTCTTTAGCACATTTTCACAGCAGTGCTTTGTGGGAGGGAAGAACTTTGTATAAATAGAATGACTACTACAGGACATCCATGAATGAGTCAAAGCAACGCTCTGGGTATGTTTTTGATGAGTGACATAATGTGATATAAAGCTCAAAGTTGATTTTGCAATACGCACGCACGCACGCACGCACGCGCACACACACACACACACTCTCATTTGACACTTAGATTTCAGTGTTTTCTACTGAGAGAGAACAAATACATTTGAAAGAAATTATAGAACGTGTTTTTTTTACCTTTACGTGTTTGTAACCAGATAGAAA